AAAAAAAAAAAAAAAAAAAGTTTCCTAAATTCTAAGAAAAAAGAGAGTTGTATTTTCTTTCCTTTTGCACCTGGGAAATTTTTATATACACAAGTTTTGTTTTGTTTTTCTTTTCAATTTATGTTTACACTTACAGTAGCCAAGTATCATTTCTCAGTAACCTATGATCCTACTGGGACCTCTGGTAGCATAGTGCCTAAGGCACTTGACTGCTAACCAGAAGGCTGGAGGTTCAAACCCACAAGCCGCTCCTCGAAAGGAAGATTGGGCAATCTACTTCCATAGTGATACTGCCTTAGAAACCTAAGGAGGGGTTGCTATGAGTCGGGTCCCACTCGATGGCACATAACAATAACAACAACAACATGATCGTATTAAGCCAAATGTTAAAACATCCTGACAACTTTTGATATTTTGCCTTCCCTAAATCTAATCATAAATGGTATCTTTCATTCCTAAAATTTTTCTTTTGAGATTTCCAAGAGGCCCCTGAAACGTCACAAAGGATTTTGTCTTTCACTTTGTAAAAATAAAGGTATTAGAAGTACATCTACTCCTCACTATCTAATCTGACATTTTGCATTTACAACAATAGTAAAAAATCTACTACCCAACTATTTTGAGCATTAACATGCATCTGGCAGTAACGAATTCCAAGGTGCGGAGGCAAGAGTAACACTGGCTGTGATGATTACGATTACTTGTCAACTTGGCTGGGCTATGATTCTCAGTAGTTTGACAGTTATGTAATGATGTAATTTAGCAGCTTATGCAAAGATATAACTAGCATTTATGTAATGAAGTCATTCTGTGATCTCATGTGATCATCTTTCATTTTCACATAATGCTGATTTTTGTATAATGACCTGGTCTTTGGAACCTAACTAATCATGTCAATAAGTGAGGAATGGTATAATTAGCTTCATTTGATGTGTTGTGAGTTGCCTGGGAATTTTTTATCAAATCAGAAGTGCTTAGTTTTCTTTAGGTTAAATTTGTATTGTGAAATGTTATTAATATATTTCTGAAATTGTATGAAGTTCCTAGAGACCTGGTAGTGCTTTCACTATCCATGAGATACTACCACTGCTTGCTTTGGCTGATATTAGACAACAGTCTAGTGTTAACAGTCATAATTTGTTTTTTCAAGATTTTGCATGTCACAGAAACAACTCAATTACCATTTCAATTGCATTACTTTTGTAATGAACTCTCATTAGATCTTTTTTTTTTTTTTAAATAATATTTGTGTTTTCAGTAAAAGTTTACATAGCAGGTTAGGTCTCTTTCAACAGGTTCTACACACACTGTTCTGTGACATTGGTTACATTCTTCACAATGCATAAGCATTCTCATGATTTCCATTCTAGTTGTTCCATCTTTATTAATCTGGTTTCCCTGCCCCCTTACACTCTCATCTTTATTTTAAAGAAATTGTTGACTATCTGGTCTCATATAGGTGAATTTTTGTGAAGGAGCACAATAACTTATCGGTGATATTCATTGTTTTTTGAGCCAACTTGCTACTTATCTATTCAGTGAACTCAGGGGTTAGTTTTACTTCAAGGTTTGAATAGTATCTCTGAATAATAGTCTTGGGGAGTCTCAACCAGTCCAGTAAGTTTTTTTTTTTTTTTTTCTTCAAAGAAATTTGAGGTTCTGTTCCACATTTTTCTCTCATTTCATCAGAGTTCATCTATTGTGGCTCTGACTAGAATGGTTGGTAGTGGCAGACAGGCACCATCTAGTTCTGGTTTCAGGGTAGATGAGACCATGGTCCATGTAGACTATTTGTCCTGTACACCAGTTTCTTTTTTGAGTCTTTGGTTTCCTTCTTTCTGTTTTGCTCTGAGTGAGTAAGAGTTGTATCTTAGATGGTTGTTCACAAACTTTTAAGACCTCAGACACTACTCACCAAACTAGGATGTAGAACATAACTTTATGAAGTACTATGAACTATAGCATGCTGACTGAATGTCACTTGAGACAATGGTCCTAATCCTTCAAACCCAGACAACCAATCCCACAATGTCTTTGGTTATGTCTAAGAAGTATCTGATTGTGTCCCTTATATGCTTTATTATATATATGAATATTCGTGCCTCTCTTGATGTCCCTTCTCTGTCTCTCTGCATTACAGAATGAATCTTCTATTACTTGTTCATTATAATGTTAAATGTTACAGGAACTCAAGCTTCAGCCCTGGGTCCTCTACTCTGCCCCTGCTTTATACATGATAAGCTTCATCTAGCTAAGTTTTCTACCTCCCACTCTCTATCCTACCCCAAATCACTTAACTCATTGCCTACTTAACTTCTACTCATCCTTAGATTTCAACTTAAATGATAAAAATCTGAACTTCTGTTTTGGTCAAATCTCTTTAGTAAATGAATAACTTCGTTCTAAGACACACTGCCTGGGTTCAAATCTTGGCTCCACCACTCACTAGTCATAGAAATTTGGGAGAGTTAAGAAACCCATGTGTGCCCCAGTTTCCTCAGTTATAAATGAGGATGATAATATCTACTTCATCATGTTTTGGAAGCTCTACACTCTTGGTAGCATAGTGGCTAAGGCACTTGTCCACTAACTAGAAGGCTGACGGTACTAACCCCCAGCCACTCCTCGGAAGGAAGATGGGGCAATCTACTTCCATACTGATACTGCCTTGGAAACCCAAGGCGGGGTTGCTATGAGTCAGGTCTGACTCGATGGCACATAACAACAAAAACAACATCATCATCATGTTTTTGTCAGGAAATTAGCAATAATGAACTAACATATGTTAAGTGCTTAGAACATGGCCAGTCACATAGAAAGTGCTTGAAAAATCTTCGCTTGCATTATTATATGCTTTCACAGTACCATGTGCTTATCCTTTGCAGGACTTATCAGAGCTGGAGTTTAATACTTTTTTGTGTGATGTTGATTATTGACCTTCTTTCCTCATAGACCTTTGAGATGGGAATGATGAGTGCTTTGCCCACAAGTGTATCATCAGGATCTATATCAGGTCTTGGCATCTTTTGTGTAGGATATTCTCCTCTCCTCACCTTTGCCTGGCTCTGTACCCCAGAAGACCAACCTCTATGGACAGTCCATAGGCTCCCTAGGCCATTGGCTTCTGGTTGAATTTGGCCAATGGGAGACACTAACAAAAACTGAAAGGGAGGGCAGAGAAGGAGGTTGGGAATACTCCGATTCTCCCTGCCAGGCCACAAACTGGTAGTGGGCTTTATTAGAGACCATGGATCCTGTCAGGGAACTCTTATACTACTACTCTCCAGTTCAGGTGAATGCATACCTTGCTGTTTCAGGCCTAAGTTGGTTACAGTTCCCCCACTGTGCCCAGTCCCAGCATACTGCATCACTCTTTATTGTTTTCTACTATTTGCCCATATATTTATAAATTTATGTCCTTTCCTTCAACTGTCCAATTGCTCCAGCTGAGTTTGTCAACTATACCCTTCTGGGACCCTGACTGATATAAGATGTTCTGTGTTAATATTTGTTGAATGAATGAATGAACTCACCCTCACTTGTCTTAGTCTGTTTTATCACATGAAGATAATAATCCTCATTCCAGACCATTGAAAAGTTGCTGTGATGAGTTCATAAGAAACAGGAAATGGACCCTTTTAAAGATGAGATCACTGGAGCAGGGTCCTTAAATGTGAAGGCATATCAGAATTACCAGGAAGGTTTGTTGCACTCACATTTCTGGGCCCCACCACAGAGATTCCGATTCAGTAGGTCTGGCGGAGTGTGGGATACTTGGCATTTCTAACAAGATTTCTGGGGATGGTGAGGCATCTAGTCTGGAGACCACACTTTGAGAAATACTGAACTAGAGAAATGCCAGAGGATTTTGCTCCTTATGGATCCCAAGTCTCATAGTTCCATTAACTATCTTTAAAGACACAAAATAACAAGTACAATACAATCTGTTTTATTTTACACCTTTCCGATCATTGATATCTCAATAGAGGTTGTTGCTAACAAACAAACAAACAAAAAGAAATGTAATGAAAAGATTCAATGCCTGGGAGTAGATGAGGGGTGTGCAAGGGAAGGGCTGTACATATTGCAGGGAAAACCTGTAGGGGGCCCATAGTGCCTGGGCATCGGCCATGGCTCAGATTATCTGGAACTCAGGGATAGAAAGGAGCTGGTGCTCCTCTCCAATCCAGGTTTCATAGGCCTGGAACAGTGCAGACACACTTTCAAAGTCGATTAGATGTGCCACCAATTGTGCTTCCTCTTTCAGCTTCTTCAGGATAGAGCACCCTGTTCCCTACACATATGTCCACTCTCATTCACACATTCAGCCAGACGTAGGGATGCTTATGACCAGGCACACCTGATTGCTTTAACACATTCACAAAACAATGCTCCTGATTTCAGGGCTCCATCCTGGGCTCAGGTATCAACTCCAGAGTTGATGTGTGTGAGCAGATTGACTAAGGGCCATGGGACAGGCAAAGTGTCAGCCATCCTAAGGACCCAGAAAGGGAGGAAGAGGGAAAATTCTACTGAGAAACTGGGGCTGGGCAGGTTCATTTAGGGAGGTCCAGATACAAGTTCTGAAAGGCCATCAAGCTCTGCTTTGCTCCTTAACAGCCAGTCGAGAAGGAAACAGAGTGCCAATAAACCAGTCCCCAGGAGATCTCCCAGCCCTGTAAGGTAGGGGATACAGTGGCTGTCAGGATCCAGGCCTTGGTGCCAAGTCAGACGTACCATCACGTCTGCCAGGTACAGCAGGATTGTCACCTAGTCATAAGCAAGCAGACACAGAAGAAAACCAAATCAGAAAGCCCAGTATGACCAAGAAACACTATCAAGAGTTTCAAGGCAAGAAATCAAGGCAGACATTATCAACTCCAGAAAGTCCCCTTTCTCCAGCTTCTCTTGAAGTCTGAAGCTCAGCCCTGAGCTCATATAGCAGGCTAGAGAAGTCAACCCTCATCCACACATTCCTGGTTTCATTTCTGGTGGTTGAGCCCTGATCTCTGTGCCAGAGAGACCCATGTCACTCACAATCTTTGGATCTCTCTGTGATCCAAGACCCCACTCATGTGAGGACTTGAAACCTGAGACATGGATCTTGCTGAGAATTAAATGTGTATTTGCTTGAGCTCCTCTCACTTGGAGCTTTTTATGGCTGTTTTTTTCTGAAGATGACATGAGTGGTCCATACAGCCTGGCCAGGGTTTCTTCAATCCTTGTCCTAGCTGACCTCAGTCACCCTATTTCTTCCTATAGCAATACACATGCTGCTATCAGGGCAATTTCATGGAGTCGTGGACTCCTACTCTTCAGGGTCAGGAATATGCTGGGATTGCAAATGCCAGCCTCCTTAAACAGGGAGATTTGAAGTTTCTAATACCTATATTAGCACCAGTCAGCACCCACAGTTCTTCCTACAGACCCCCTGGGCCCACATTTCTATGCTTGCCTTGGACATCAGCCAGCTAGAGTCTCAGGAGACTGTCTGCTGAGAGTACTTTTCTGATGCAGGCACACCAGCTTAATCTTCTTCACCAATACCCTTATCACCATCCATCCCCAATAGAAGTCTATGTATGTCTTTTAAAGAGGACCCCAACAGGGTGTGGTCTCTGCTGAATCATCACAGCAGCTTGCTTTATGACTGCTCTATGACCACATACTGCATCCTCAGAACTACTCCCTGACAACGAGTGTGCAAAGCTTTTGTGTCTGGAATACACCTTTGGGTTTTAACAAGTGGAATAAACTGGAAGAGGGGACAATGCCTTCCACATCTAGAAGGCACCCCCTTCCTTCTAAGCATCTCACTCAAGACCCAGAATATGAAAAGGGTCATGTTTGCTGACTGACTCACTAAATGAATGCTGCTTTTTGACAGCAGCCATCCTTACCTGGATCAGGCCTGCCAGCAGATACAGCACCACAAAGGTCTTGCTGCTTGTGACTGAGTGACCTTCTACCAGGTAGACAACTAAGAAGAAAATCAGATGGCCTGGAATCACCAGGAAGAGCAGGACTCTGGCAGACATGGAATTGATTTCTGGAAGAAATAAAACCAAGAAGGTCTAGTGATATGCCTGTCAGCAGAGGCCACTTTGGAATGTGACAGTCTCCAGTGATGCATCCAAATTTACTGACCCATTTATTCCACAAGTTTATTGAGCATCTGTTGTATGCCAGGCACTGCTCTTACTGATGGGGATATAGTTCTGTCCCTTCCCTCATGGAGCTCACATTTTAGAGGTGAGAGACAAACACTAATTAAGAAGAAACAAATAAACTGACAAATACTATGAAGAAAATAAAACAGGGTAATATGGTAGAGAATGAAGTATACGTTAGTGGGAACGAACTACTGCAGACTAGAAGAACTCTCCAAGAAGACATTTAAGCTGAGATCTTCAAGGGTATGGGAGGGGTGAAGTAGAGGGAAGAGAAGGTATAAGAGGCTTAGGAGCCTGGAAATAAGGAGGAACAGAGGCTAAGTGTTTAGAGCCAGTGATTTGGGAGAGACACAAGATGAGGCAGGAGATGCTGTGAAGATTAAGGTTGAGAAGAGTGGATTTAGTTTCCAGTATGTTGGAAGCCATTGGAAGATTTTAAGCAGACACAGATATTTATGTTTTAAAAAGAGCATTCAGGCTACTGTATGCATCGAAGGCAGCAAGGATGGATGTAAGGAGAAGTAGAGACCAAGTCTCTTCTATGTAACCCCACTGTCCAGCCAAATCCCTTCTTCTCCACCTCCACAGTCATGGACTTAGTTCAAATTCTTTTGAATCTTGCTGCCTATTCCTCTCTTTTCCATACATATCTCCTACATTGTCCTTTATACCAGTGCTACTCAAAGTAGGGTCTACAGACCACTAGCTTTGACATAACATGGGAGTCTGTGAGAAACGTAAATTCTTAGACCCACCCCAGACCTGTTAAATCAGAATCTATGAAGATGGGGTCCAGGAATTCATGTTTTAATAAGTTCTACTGATGATTCTGGTAAGGTGGAGGGTTGACAAAAGAGGGGAAGGCCTTCCACAAGATGGATTGTCACAATGGCTGCAACAATGGGCTCAAGTATAGCAAGGATCATGGAGCCGGTGCAGGATCGGGCGGTGTTTCGTTCTGCTGTGTATGTGGTCACTATGAGTCAGAAGCGACTTGACAGCACCTAACAACAACAACTGATGATTTTTAGATGTGCTAAAGTTGAAGAAATACTGCAGCCCAACACTACAGCAATCTTTCACATAAGAAATACCTACAGCCCACAGGTCAAAAATTTAATGACTGCCCATTTGCCAAATAATACAACATCAATGACTTCTTGTTTTGCTTCTTACCTTCTGACCCACAGCCTCATCACCCACCATTACTATCCCTGTTCTACTCTACTATCCTATTTTACTGAACAGCTCAAAGTTCTCTGAATATGTCAGACATTTCTCATAACTCATAGCTCTCATATGGGACACACTCTAGGTCTCTCCCTGAAGTCATCTATATTTAAGTCACAGTCCTTACCGGAAATGCAAGGCCTCATCCCTGAGAAAGGCTTCACCATGTCTGTGAGGAAGCAAGGCAAGCTGATCTCACTAACTCTTTTGGCCTTCTTTAAAGTGAGGCCACTCTGGCTGGCAGAGTCCATGGGTGACATATGAAGGAAAGGGACATGCCATTGATATAGCCCCTCTTTTATACTAGATATATCATCCACATTATCAAATCCAATGCTTGGGGCCCATATAGTATATATTTTACTACTGAGGAAAGAAAAAAAAAACAAAACAAACTTGCTGTTGAGTCAATTCCAACTCCTAGCAATCCTATAGAGTAGAGCAGAACTTCCTCATAGGGTTTTCAAGGCTGTAATCTTTATGGGAGCTCTGGTAGCATAGTGTCTAAGGCACTTGACTGCTAACCAGAAGGCTGGCGGTTCAAACCCACCAGCCACTCCTCGGAAGGAAGGTTGGGCATTCCTACTTCCGTAGTGATACTGCCTCGGAAACCCAAGGAGGGGTCTCTATGAGTCGGGGCTGACTTGATGGCAAATAACAACAACAACAACAACAACAAATCTTTATGGAAGCAGATTGCCACATCATTCTCTCATGGAGTAGCTGGTGGGTTACAGTCACCAACTTTTCAGTTAACATCTGAATGCTTTAATCACTACACTACCAGGGCTCCTCTATTGAGGAAATTGAGCCTCAAAGTGATATTGTCATATGTATGCCTAGATCTACACTTATTCCAAGAACATAACTCTGCTGGTGGAGTCAGGATTCCCAGCTAAATCCTAATGCACAGTGGGAGGCTGGACCGCTCCCTCCTCACTATAGGCACCCAGATCCTGTCAGCATATTACATTAGTGACATATTAGTGATCCCTATGGCCTATGAGTTTGAGAATTTGCAATAAATGTGATTGGCCCATCTACCCTTTTATAAACTGTAATATATGAACGTGACTGACTTCTCAAACAGAAATAAAATGTTCCAATTTAAAGTAAGTATCCACTTTACCTCTGAGCTAATATATTTCACCAAATTAGTAGGAAAAAGGAGGAAAATCATAGTTAGTTTAGAAGCTAAAAAGTCTACCAAAAAATAGTATATACAGAGTAAGAGTGCACAAGAGTGCCAAAATTTATTCATGATGGAAAATTAGTCAAGGCATAAAAAGGTATATAAAACTTAAAGAGGAAGAAGTAAAACAATTAGTATTTGCTCCTGGCATGAAAACTCAAGAAAATCTACTGAAAAACTATACAAACAAGAAATCAATAAAATGCTTGGGCACACAAACTGTAAAATTACAATTACAAAAAATAAATACCCTTTATATATACAAACAACAAGTTAGAAGATACAATGGGGACTTCTACTTCTCTTGGTAAGTACAGGTAAAAACCATGAACATTATGTATAAAACAAACCTAAGACTCTGAAAGGTAGAGAGAAGTCAGACCAGCTATGGAGCTTAGGATCCAAGGAATAATATAGTGGCAAGCTTCTTTTGTTTTCTTTTTGCTTCATATATCCCAGACATGGAGCTAAACAAGATGGCAACCAAGAAATGCCAGTATGGAGGGATGAAAACAAACAACAAACCCAGTGAAAGTCTGCTCTCTCTAGTTAAAGGACCAGGAAAGGGGCATCCTAGCAAAACATAGAACTTTTAGATAACGATGACTTTACACTACCCAAATACCACAGGAAAAAAACTGAGGCCCCACCCCATCAGCAAGGACCAAGTGGGGAGCCTAGACTTCTATTCTTATTCAGGTATAATGTGGTGCCCAACTCTTCCTGTTGAGGTGGTATTAGAGAAGTTTAAGCAGTAATGAGGCCCTCCTCCTATGGTGTTAATGCAGAACAAATGAGAACCTTGGACTTCCATCCCCACATAGTAGTAACAAGGCACTACCCACCTCCCCAACAAGATAATATCAGAGGAGACCAAGTAAAATGCTGTAACTTCACTAATGCACTGGGATAATGAGGCTTCTTCACATCATGGTGTCAGTGGAGACCATGTGGTAAGTAGTAACAAGGCACTCCCATGTTTCCCAGTCAGGATGGTGTCAGTGGAAGCTTAATGAGGAGCCTGGAAGTAAGAGATCAGTGCATTCACTAACCCCCTAATATGGTATCAGTGGGGTGGCTAGCTAAAATAGAAGCTTTAAATATGATCCAGAGACTCATAACATAATACACAAAATGTCCAAGATTCAATCTAAAATCATCCATCATACTAAGACCCAGAAAAAAGAAAGACAAACAATAGACAGCAACACCAAGATGGACCAGATGTTAGAATTATATGAAAACTATTTTAATAAAGCTATCATAAAAATGCTTCAACAAGGAATTAGAAAAACACTTTAAATAAATGGGAGGAAAAAGACAGTAAAGAAATAGAAGATATAAAACATAACCAAATGGAATTTTAGAACTGAAAAAAATACAGTAATTAAAATAAAAACTCAATGAATATGCTCAACAGCAGAATGGAGAAGACAAAAAAAAGAATCAGTGAATGTGAAGATACAATGACAGAAATTACCCAATTTAAACAACATAGAGAAAAACATGCTGGAGAAAACAAACAAACAAACAACAAGATGAACAGAATCTCAGGAGCTTGTGGGACTACACCAAATGATCTAACACCCCTGTGATCAGAGTACCAGAAGGAGAGGCAAAAGAGGGTAGAGTTGAGAAAGTATTAAAAAAAAATTGATGATGATGGCTGAAAATTTCCCAAACTGGCAAAAGATATGCCTACAGATTTAAGAAGCTGAGAATACCCTAAAACCAAATCCACTGCCATCAAATCAGTTCTGACCCACAGCAACCCCCATTGGGTTTCCAAGGCTGTAAATCTTTATGGAAGTAGATTGCCTCATCTTCTTCCCATGAAACAGCTGGTGGGTTTGAACCCCTGACATTCTGATTAGCAACCAAATGTTTTATTCAACATACCAGTAGAGCCCCTTTTAAGTTGGATAAATTCTAAGCAATCCATGCCATAGTGATCAAAATTCTAAAACTGAAGACAGAAGAAAATTCTTGAAATAAGAAAGAGAAAAACATCACCTTACTTATACAGGAAAAATAATTCAAATGACAGTAGATTCCTCATCAGACACCAGGGAGGACAGAATGAAGAGGCACAATATTTTTCAAGTGTTGAAGAAAATAATGACCAGCTTTGAATTTTATACCCAGCAAAAATATCCTTCAGGAATGTGCCAGCAGAATAAACTCAGAAGAATGGCTAAAGGCAGTTCTTAAAACAAGAAAAAAGTGATAAAATAAAATATAATGAGAGAAAAGATCCAATTTATAAAAGCAGTAAAAGATAAAACACTTCCAATGGTTCCAGAAGAGAATTCAGTCTTTTCTCCAGCTTCTAGACCCTATACAATCAACTCCTTCCTAGCTCTCTGGCTTCAGCTTCCTTCATTCTCTCCCTTGCTCACTGTGTTCACTTCTCACTGGCCTTTCAGCTCTTCAAACTTCCTAAGCTCCTTCCTACCTCCAGGACTTTGCTCAGGATGTTTCCTTTGCCTTGAATGTTACTCCTGCTCCATCATTCTTCCTCCTCAACCTGTCCCTGCTCATTCTCAGAGAGGATGTTAACTCTCTAACTTCAAATAAGGGTCTCCTGCAATTGTATTTCATTGCAGTTTGTGTTTTTGCCCTTTAGAACACATCACAATGTGTAATTATGATTTATTTTGTTTATCTGCCCTTCTGGACTAAGTACTCCATGAGGGAAAGAATCAGCTTTCTCTTTTTCACCACTGTAACTATGACACCCAATACCTGATAGACATTCAATAAATATTACTGAGTGAATTAATGAATCAAAGGCAGGACTGAGGAGTCAAGGTTTTTAGGATGCTGGAGTCTCAAAGATGATCTGTGCTGATGTCAGCAATGCTTTGGACCTCAATTGTTACGAATACCAGATTCCAATGACATTGATTTTTTTTCTCCAATGATAGTGGTTTTTACTTGTTTAAAGAAAAGTCTATATAGCCTGTGGAAGACAACAGACCCACCTGAGGAGCAGAAAGTAGAGCAAGGATTAGGCCAGAATCTTTTCATCCAGAGGGGCAGGACCCCAGGTGTGCTCCAAATATGCAGGTAGGTAGAGATCCGGCTGGTCTGAATGGCCACTAGATTGCCTCCAACACCTGGGAGGAGAAAAGGAAGCTGGTTTCCCCTTCTTCATGCCAGTATCTGAGTCCTATTACTTACTTTAAGTTCACTTTCTCCAGGAAGCCTTCCTTAATTGGTTCAGCTCTTGAGGTCTTTTCTTTCCCTCCCATTGACCCACAGATATTGTTTGTCACCAAGTAACAGTCACCCAGACCTTGTTAGAGAGATTCTGAGGCAGTAATTGTATCTGTCACCTTAACAGCTGGCATCTATTAAAGTCAGGGGAGGGTGGCTGGCAAAGTAGTTTTCAATAAATATTTGCTAAGTAGAGAGTAAAAGGGAGGGAGGGAAGGAACTCAGGAAGGGAATGAGGATGAGGGGAGAGAGATGGGAGATGATTTTATGGGAAAATAGCTTGATGAGCCACTGTGGGTAAGAAAGTAAATCCTTAGAAATATGATTAAGCTGGAATACCTGAGAAAATAATTTTTTTCTCCCAAAGATGGGAAGAAGAAATTGAACAGTGGATAAGAGCAGGGCAGAGAAAAGAGAGAGAGACACCATCATATGGTAACAGACAGGTACAAAATGAAGCACTCATTAGAACCTCACATGGCTGGGTGGCTGGAGGAGCTTAGGAAAATATGTTTTCTACTGTGCCATCTTGAACTGTGTGCTGTGTGATACCCTCTTGGGGGCCTCGAAATTGTTAGCACAGACTCTTGCATACATACATGGTTTGGGTATGCACATGGAAGGGGGCTGCTTTGCAGAAATTTAGGAAAGATGGCACATAACAACACACAACAACAGGAGTCACGAATAGATCAGTAGGGCACAGAACACAGACAGTGCACCAAAAGCAGTCAGAAGCCAAGAAAACACATGTGTATTGCTCCCCAGAAATTCTGGGGCTCATTGCTGAGACCTCAGGCTGCCACAGGGTGTGGACAGCTGATCCTATCCATGCTGAGCTCCTTCTGCGAGCCCATAGTAACTGTTTCCTTGCGAAGGTGGCTGAGTAGGGGAGTAGGTTGACCCCACTATATTTTTTCAGCCCCAGGGAGAACAATCTGTCCCTGGGCCGGGCATATATCAGTTACCTCCTGGAACTGAAAACCGAGTGACTCAGTTTCTGAGGATGCAAAGAGTGGTCTGTGGGCCAAGGATGCCTACAGATCAATCTTGTTTGTTCTGCACATGATTTCTAGAAAAAAACGGGGAGCCTCATATTAATCACCAGCATTTACATATCAGCACTTTTATATAAAATCCAGATCCCCAGCTTCTTTTAACAAACCATTTCTGGCAATTCTAGGTCCACATTCCCATAAGGAAACATTTGGCTAGAGCTGAGTGTTGTCACCCTTCAGACTAGAAACATGCTCTGCACTTTGCCTCATTTCCTGCCCTTCATTACTGTGTGGCTATCATTTTGCCTCTTTAACTGATTCATACTGTTTACTTGGTACCTGCAAGCACCTGAGTTGATGACATCAGAGAAAATTATTCTGAGCTTTTAGCTATGTGCACATGACTTAGCTGTTGTCCTCACGTAGTGTGTCTGGCCCTCCTGTGGGAAAACGGGTAACTGTTCCACAGACCTGGACCCCCACCTGCTAGGGGCTGACTGAAAGTCTCTGAAGGCTGTTTCTGCAGTCCCATAAAGCCAGGACCTGGGGACCAAGAAAACTGGGCAATAAGTTATCATGTTTCATTTCCCTCCTGATGGGTCAGTTCCATTTATACAGCCTTATAAGGAACCTGACACAAATTCATGCTTTGGTTAAAACAGGGGTCATAAACACAGTTGTCTACAGAGTCTAGGCCTAGAAGGTATATAAGTGAAGGGAGTCAGATATAAGACAACAGGGAGTGGTGGCGATTGAGGCAAAACTGAAAAGCACTTGTCCTGTTTCAAGGCAGTGTGGAAGCAGCTGATGCTCCGTTTCAGCTGATTATTGCCATATTCAGAGAGCAAACCAAATACTGTCACAGACTTACTTGTTAAGAAGAAGATAAAAACATAGATTGTTATGTTTAAGAGTCTGATTTTTAAATGTCATCAATGAAACAAAATGGTATTTTAAAAAGTAACAGAAAAACATGAGAACCCAACAACCCAGTTCTGCAGGCCACACTCAGTGTGCAGGCAGCCAGTAGGTTCTGGGTTGAGCTCCCCAAGCTATAGCCCTGTCAGGATAGCTCCAGGCTCAGTGGCACCTAAGAGGAACAGGGTAAGTTGATGAGAACAGAGGGTAGGGCTTTCTCACCTCATGTCCCCTGCAGAGCAGTGGCACATCTGTGCCTAAGGTCTTGCGCTGGACCTCTGGAGTCATTTCTGTTTATGTGCAGCCAATGCCTGGGAGGAGACCTGGCCCAGGAACCCCAGGGACACAGATCATGTTGAATACCTACCACATATGATGGGGGTGAAGACAGCCATGCCTTGGTACTGAGGTTCAGAGATGGTTTTGCTCAGGATGAGCCCTCCGAAACTGGGAGAGGAGCAGATAGCATTCCAGCGATCAGGAGGGCACACTCACAGGGCCTTGCAAACCTTCCTGTACAAGTCACTTGTCAGTCTACCTTCCCAGCCCAGCACCCACTTTCCTGTCCCCTACACAAATATACATTAGGGCCAAGCTGATCCCCTCACACAGTGCATATTTCCCCATCTAGACCTCTGTTCTGAGTGTCAGTTATTCTAGGAGCCCACCAGATAATGTCAGTCCTTCTGAAGAAAGAAAAAAAAAGCCTTTCCAAGGTCCCTCCACTGACTGGGCTGTTGCATGGCAGCTCCACTGCAACTGAGATGCTTGTAAACAGCATTGCAGGTCCCTTATTCTAAGAAAAATGTTGCAGCAAGACTTTCCTACCCCTTGGAACTAGAGACCTAGAGAAAGTAGATCCATTTCCAATAAGAAGCCCAGCAGCCTTCTGGAAGTAAAGATACCTAGACCGTAACTTCTTCTCCCTGAGATTCAGTTAGGAAAACATGCCAGAATACAGTAGCGTAGCCCTGAACAAGGTCTCCTTACAGGAAAGAATGCTCAAGGGTGAAAGAGTCCTCCTTACAGGAAAGAGTGCTCAAGCCAGGACCCTAGGCTCAGCTTTAGGCCTGAGGCCCCAAGGAGGCTCTACCTGCACAGCTCCTCCAGGTCCCAACAACTGCCATGCTTTGGAAACAATGCCTGCACATGCAAGGGAAATTAAAAGAGCCATAGCCCTGAGGCCCACTGCAGCTTAATAGAGGTCTAGGCTCACAGGAACTCCACTGGATGCAGACCATGTGAGATCTGGTGTCCAACAGCAACCAGGTGTGGCAGTGGGCTGTGTTGCTAGTGAACACATCTGACTTTCCCAGTTTGGGCTCCTCTTTGCTCTCTGGTGCTCTGGTCCCTATAAGTAGGATTGCCTCTTTTAGAATGAGTAAGCTCTAGAGTGAGAGAGCAGCCTCAAGGAGGTTTCCCATAGACTAGGAAGTAAAGAGGTTTGGGATTGGGAGTCAGTTAAGTCATGGAGGTCACATCTCATTCCAACCTCCACCACTGAAGTAATGAGTGCCACCCTCACCCTAGAGCACACCACTACCCTCAGATGCTCCCACACTACAGAAGCCATGGGAGGCAACAGAAGCAGATGCAGAAGGGGGCAGTGGTTCTGCTCACGCTCACCTGCTGACAACCATTGCTAGGATGATAGGGAACCATCCAAACTTGAGGATCTTCATGATAGGTGGGCTCTGCTTGACTATGATGCCCCACACTGGGGTAAGAGTGAGAAAGGCCACGCAGACCAGTGGTGTCAGGTACCAGCTGTCTGTAAGAGGAAGTGAGGACAACACACAGCTGAGGGGTGGGGCTGGAGCACACTGGGAGGTGGGGAGGTCAGTCCTGGCCTGAGCAGGACCCAAGGTCAGAGATGCAGGTGGGGAAGGAAGAGCTTAGATTAAGGGCACTATAGATCTGAGGAAACACTTTCATCTTCATCAGTTTAGGGTGGGCTATTCTACCCTACTTCCCAAAGAATGTTCACCGTCTTGTTATGCACCTGGAAAAGCTCCTTCCTCTCTCTCCAGAATTTCTGCCTCAATCCCTGTCACTCGTCTGACTTTTTACTATGTTTCCAACCTCTTCTGTTTCTTCCTGTCCCAATCTTATCATCATTATGATGATTTTTATTAATAGGATTATGACACATGCCAGAGTTGTGTGATCTAATTTCACCTTTTGGACAATCTGCTGAGATGTCATTCTGAGGAGACAGAAGTTTAAAGAAGAGCCTGCCCAGGGTCCACAGCAAGGAAAAGCTTGGCATAGCCAGAGTCAGCCATGTGATTGATGTCCAGCCCTGGTCCTTGCTAAGGACAAGTCCAGAGACAGTTCCTCGGGTTCTGTGCCACACATTATCTTCTCCAACTGGTGTGAGGCCAGTGAAGACAGTCCTGGGTCTGAGTCAGTTTGCCACTAACTAGGCCTAGGATGGGCCTGACATATTTCAGCACACACATGGGTATCATTTTCATACCGTCTTGGACACTGTTCATGTGTGTTTTAACTTCCAGACCACAGAACAAGAGAGTACATACTGACTTTCTCTAGAACATTCTCTAGAGCTGACCCTTCAGAGTGCATGATCCAGGGTGGTATACATCTCTCCTGCCTATTAACTACCTGATGATTTGACCCCAATACTAATGTGTCCAGTGGCCCTCCTGCCCTTTTTCTGGGAAGGAGCATTAGGAACACCCACTCTTGTCCTCCACTGCATCAAAAATTATGGTCAGAGGTTTGTTGGTCTATCAGGAGCCTGGTGGAACCCCTGAGACTATGGCCCCTGGCTGCCCATCAGATCTGGAATTGAACCCACTCCTGTGGCTTCTAGTCAAACAAAAGATAGGCATATGAACTGAATATTTACATCAGATAGATACACTCCTTGGTGAGATCAATCATGGGAGAATAAAAGGGCACAGGGAGACTGCTGGGGGATGGGCAGGAGTGCTCGGGAGGGAAGGACACAGGGAAAGGTGGCTATGAGGAGAAAGTGGAAGAGAGCTGTTGCATTGTGGGAAATTGCAGTCAATGTCATGAGACAAAGTGTATGTGAACTACTGCATGGAAAATGAATTTTCTCAGTAAACTTTCACCCAAATCACAATAAAAATTAAAAAAAAAATTATTGTCACTTCCTCTATCCTCACGGGTAGCTGGAAGGAAGAAGAGGCCACAAATGCCTGAGACTAGCTAGGAACAAGCATACCGTGGTGGAAACGGCTGATCTTTTGAGTCCAGTACAACTTCTGAGTCCAGTCCAACTTTAAAATAACTACTCACTAGCCCCCACAGAGGTTCCTGCCTCATATTCTTCCCATCATTGTAATGAGTATGCTTTGTCTTCCCAATGACTGAGCCTGTCCACCAAAGAGAGCTGCAACAAGCTGTTCATTCACTCAGCCAAAGAAAGTCATTTCCAGTGACTCCCTTAGTGCAGCAAAGACAAACACAATGTATCAATGGAGAGAGAGACAACCCAACAATGGCTTAACATCCAAGGAGGCATGTGTGGAAATATATGCCTGCTACAGTAAAGGACACAGAGGAAGGGTATGGGGGACATGTAACTCATTTATTTTGCAAACCAAGCTCAAATAATTATCAAATGCAAATCTTCTTGTTTTAAGTTCAGTGTAGTATGAAAATAAAATTAGGTCATCATATCGATTCTTGTAGTTCATTGATGCCACTTATCTGAGCTTTGAGAATCTTCCAGACCATTAGCTATTTTTGATGACAGACAATACAAGGGATGGCAGTGAAATGGTCCCAGAACTGGGATAGAAAATGGTCTCAGTGCTGTTACATTGTACATCTGAGTTGTGTTATTTCAGAACTTCATTTGAGAACATTTAAAAACTGGGAGGTTTCACAAGTCACTGGGTCTATATGTGACAATAACAAATTGGAGCTTTGTTGAGGCTATTCTCTTAAGCTAGGACATTTCCTCGAACTAACCACTTTGTACTCCCTGCCACTCCCTACAGCCTCATCCCAGTCCATTTCATTCATTGATCCTCCCTCCCACAGGTATGTGAGGTAGCAACCAGGCTCTGGATCAACATTGGTCCAAACAGTTGGGAGCACCTATCTCAGGGAGACTGGACCAGGCTGAAAGCAGAAATAGAACACTGAGAGAGGACTGGTCAGCTGTGGAAACCCAGCAAAGGGAGGATCATGTGATCCAGGATAATGTTGCCCGGCTATGAGAGAAATCATTGACAACCAAGGGGCACCTCTGTCCTATGGTGAAGTTAAGGCACAAGGACCTGGGTGAAAAGACATGTGGACATGTCCCTCTGCCACTGACTGTATCACAAGGACACCTTCTGGGGATTCCTGAGCTTCTCTTGCCTTATGCCTAAAAGGAGAGTGCACACTGCTGCGGCACTCACATCTCTACTGCAGTACCACTTCCACGGTGGAGGTAGTTCGCATAGTCTGGTGAGAGCTGCCTTCCTCAGGAGGCATGTCGTTCTGAGAGGACACATCCAAGTGGAGGACCAACTCTCTATCCTTAGGCCCTACCCAGCATTCCCTGTATCTGTTATAAAGGTTGACATAACCTGTGTTTCTGTGGAAACTGAGTTGCTATTCCCTCTCACATGGTTTGAAAAGCACTTGATAGAGAGCATCTCTCACTTGTATGACTTCAGGTTTTCTCTCTGTAAAAGGATTTTGGGCCCCATGATACCTTAGGGCATGAACCCCATTTGAATGACACTGGGTGGGTGTAAAAGTTCTTACTCAGCTTTGTGGTGAACTGCCCCAGGGGCCCTCCTCCTTGGGGCCTCCATACCTTTGTGTTTATAGAAGAAGCTGCTAACCAAAGCCAGAATGGACAATGTGATGAGGTCTCCTAGGCTGGCTGCGATGGGTGTGGCAATGTTGTCTGGGTTGACTCTGAGCTTCCGAGCCCCAATCACTATACAGACCATCAGCATTCCTATAGAAACACATGGGAGAACAAGGAGACTCAGATGCCAGGAAGTCAGTAACTGTGAGAAGGGGCTATGGCATGGTGATGTGACAGAAGCAGGCCACAATACTACCTACTAGCTTGCCTTACATCCATCCACTCCGAGGCTTGCAGCTGTATTGCTACAACACATTCAGAGTTTCTCCCACTACCACTGTGGTCTGAAATGGCTGGAAGAGTCAGATCTACTTCGAGACTGGGGAGATGCTAAGAAGTGGCTAGAAGCTTTTACCTCGCTTTCTAGAATTTATTTTTATTGTTTTTGTTGAGAATATACACAGCAGACATACACCAATTGAACAATTTCTACATGTGTAATTTCATGACATTCATTACATTCTTCTAGTTGTGCAACCATTCTCACCTTCCTCCTCTGAGTTGTTCCTCTTCCATTAACACAAACTCACTGCCCCCTAAAGTTCCTATCTAATCTTTCAAGTTGCTGTTTTTAATTTGGTCCCATATAGATAGACCTTAAAAGAGCACACTGCTCAAGGCAGACTTTCTTTACTAGTTAGGCTAAACTTTTTGTTTGGTTTTAAGAAGACTTCAGGGTATACTTTTTGTTTAAAGTTTAAAGATTATTTTAGGGCAATAGTTTGAGGGGTTCATCCAGCCTCCATGGCTCCAGGCTCCAGGCTCCAGAAGTCTGCAGTCCACAAACATTTGAAATTCTGTTTTGCATTTTCCCCCTTGACTGTCAGGATTTTGCTATAGAATCTTCAGTCAAAGCATTCAGTAATGGCACCAGGTACCATCCTGTTCTTCTGATCTCATGCCAATGCGGGCACTTATTCATGGAAGTAATTTCATTTTTTCCTCCTATTCTTGCTTCTCCTTGTTCCTCTGTTGCTCCAGGCAGATAAAGACTAATTGTTGTACCTTGGATATGGCCATGAAGCTTTGATAACACCCTCTAGCAAACCAGGAAGAGAGCCAGGGCAAGTCACCTGTAACTGCCAAGACACATGTTTGTGGCCCTATGCTGCTTTGAAAGCTACTCCAAAACTACTCTGAGCAATGGTGCCTGAGGGACTGGACACAAGCCTCCCTCCCTTGTCCAGACCTTCTAAGAAGCAGATGCCAAGATGTTGTTAGCATGCAAGAGATGTGTCAGACCCAAGCCTGTGAAGGGAATGGGAAGGCAGGAGGGGACTGGGAGCCACCAGACTGCCAGGCAGGCTGGGCCTCAGGAAGGAAAGAGGATTAGAAGGAAGGAAATGTACATACCTTAGTAGGCAGTGCAGTTCCAACGCTGTCAGTGAGGCTGTGGGGAGCTTTCAGGCCATATCCCTGAAACGTACCTGACCCAGCAGCTTGCAGTACCCAGGTGGGGGCTGAGAGTGGCCGTGGTGATAACTGTCTAATACCTAGCAGTCAGACACAGTTAGGAAGCTGAGTGGTGTATCTTGTTGGTACCACACTTCTGAGGTTCCACTTAGTTCTGACTGTTTTAGAAAGCTAACACCAGAGCTCATATTTCCAGCCTGGTATGCCATTTCCTAGCACTTAATTCAAGAGAATTTTCTTTGGTTAAGAAGATATTTTGTATCTTAGCTATTGGTATGTTAAAACTATCTCTCACTGCCATGGAGCTGATTCTGACTCGTAGAAACTCTCATTGGGTTTCTGAGGCTATAAATGTTTCCAGATGTAGATTACCCCATCACCTTCCATGGAGCAGCTGGTGGGTTTGAACTGCCTACCTTCTGGTTAGCAGTCAAACGCCATAAGCACTGTACCACCTAGTATCCTGTAATTCTAAAAAACAAAATTATCACCTTTGATTCGTGCCTGATTTATATGACCAAGTCATGGCTACTATCTGACATTCCAGGTCATAGTTAGGGACTGCATAAAGGAAACCTGTGATTGGGAGTGTTTATCAACAATGACAATGATGGCACCTGGCCTTATGTTACTTTCACTTCCAGGTGCACCATGAGCCCTGACACTGTTTCTGAACTTCTGCACATCTCTGGAACAAAACTTATAGATCCATATTGATAAGATTCTCCAGTCTCTGGCCTCAGTATCCCCACATGGAAAACGAGGATATAGGAGTGGTATGCTCCACAAAGCCCTGCAGTTTTCTTACTTTCAGAACAAATTTCATGCCACACATCTCCTGGGCTTTGCCTCTTTGGAAGATGTGGCCTATCACTCGTGATGCTTTGATCATACTGGATAATGGCCTCCAACCTCTGTGTACTCATAATACAGGCATGTGGTCTGGAGCTTACTTCAGCAGACATCTAGAACAGGGGAACTGAGTTGGCAAATTTGTAACTGGGCTTTCATGTATGCCTTCTCTTGAGTCTAACTCTATCTTGATCATATGTACTAGCACATGAATGTACCTGGTAGGATTCTTGATAGGGGCAAAAATCTACCAATAACAGACAGTTTTGACCTATAGAGACCTGAGATCAAAGATAGTGAGCAATCAGGTGGGGGATGGAAGGGCAAACAGAAGTGTGCTCCATGGAGTTACCCATTGCTCCTTTTTGCACTGTGCAAAAAACAAGGCACCTACTGGTAAAGTACACAGACATACCCACTTAGACAGGTCCATATGGGAAGCAGGATAAAGCACATTATCGAGCAAATTGTGGGAGCTGGTTAAATGCCCTGTCTTACTTTAAGTATTGAGAACAGAAATAAGGCCTTGTCCTTATGTAGCATTCGTGCTTGCAAGGCAGGGAACAGATGATAAACAAGTAAATGAACAAGAATTTTGAAGTAAATAAAACAAGATCCTAGGGTAAAGTGTGCCTAGGGATGGAAGATACTTCAGAATGTTGACCACAGAAGACTTCACGTGGGTAGTGGCGTTCCACACTCACTTGAAATTATCTATGTGCTCATGTATTTATTGTGTGCCTCTAAATGCACATCAAAGAATAGGATCCTTGTGCACTGTGTTCACCAGTGTAACCCTGGCACCTTGACCAGTGCCTAGCACATAGGAGATTGAATACAAATGAATAAAGACCCTATATATAAATGTATTTCAACTGTGGCTTCCTCACTAAAGTGTGTGCCTCCCCAAGGCTAAGGACTACGTCCACCAATGAGTATCTCTGGCCTCTATTAAGCACTTACTTACACTACAACGTCCTATTTTTATGAAACTAACAGTTTAGCAGGAAGATGATACAGGAAATAAATAAAGAACTATGCAAGATAATTTTGGATGTTCATAAGTGCTTTGAAAGGAAAAGACTGACATAGTGGGGAATACAGCAATGAGGAAGGGAGGGAGGAGAATGGAATAGTTGAAAGGGTGATCAAGAAAGACCTCTCTGAAGAGATGGAATCTGGGCTGAAGCCTGAGCCATGGCAAAGCCTGGAGTGCAGCTGAGCTTGGGAAACATATACAGTATAAGAGAATAACTAGATGAACAAGCCTGTGTTTAAGGAGCCTGAGTGTAGCATGGATCAAGAGTGACTATAGTGAAAATATGTCTGTACAGCAAAGCCTACTGCTTTCAACAGTAGAATCAGCAGCTCTCTCTGGCCCGTGAGCCTGCCTCAGATGGCATGTGCTATCCGCCCCTGCCCATGTGATGGCTCTGAGAACCCAGCAAGCTCCCCCTATCCTGATAGGATGCCTCAAGCTCCCTTTAGTATCCTCATCTCTGGCATCTCCAGGAATGCGAAACACAGACAGCTGGGCACAAAGCCCTAGAGAGCCGGACAGGTGAGCAGATGGAAGGGGGATGCTGGGATGGGGTGAGCTCACCTAAAGCCAAGGCAGCGAAGAAGGCGGTGAGGACACTGCTGGCACAGAGCAGCCCCATCTTTGCTAAGTCCAACTCCTCCCTGGACACAGCTCCCAGAAGCAGGGCAGCTAAAGCAGCCAGAAGCCCCACAACAGTGGCCTGCACCTGTCAGGGCAGAAATCAGAAACATGAAGCAAGTTTCCCCTGGTGCACAGCCACCCCCCTCTACTCACTAAGTCTCCTCTAGGGCCTTCTCAGGGTGAGGACACCACCTGACACTGACTCCTTCCCCTCATCCTAACAACTGCTAAAGGCCCCTCAACCCCAGGGGGGAAAAAAAAAACACTAAAACCTTCCTTCTACCCCAGTCCCTTGGAAACCAGTGGTTTCTTATCACACTCCCTTGTAAGACACCATCTTTAATTGTGGAATCTAACTTTATTTTCTATTCCATCAAGGCTTCCCAGTCCTTCTGCCCAGGAACCCTGTCTAACTGCTCTGAGCAAAACTGCTCTCATGTCTCTGCAGCATGCTTCCACATGGGAGCCTCCACTATCATAGCACTGCCTCGGAGGCAGTCCAGCACACTTTCTGTTTCTCTCATGTACTTTTCTTCCTTGGCACTTGCCCCACACAACAGTGTTCCCTCTCTCTGCATTTTCCTCCAGGGAAATTCCATTCTTCCCCAGGCCTGAGCTCCCAGTTCTATGGACAATGTCTCTGCTGCTTGCTTAGATCCTACACCTTGATGTGCCCTAAATCTGACCACCAATATTTGTACTTCTAATTCAGAATGTCTAAAAGGAAACATGCATAAATGAAAGGTGAATAAATAAAAGAGTTCTACCAGGTACATGGATTTAAAAAAGTCAGTATTTTAAAGATGAAAATCATCCCTTATGTAATTCCACTAAAGACCCAATAAGATTTTCCATTGCACTCAACAACTAATTTTAAATTTCATAAGGATGAGTATATGAGCCAAGACAATTTTGAGAAAAATGATTAAAGAGGGAGTATTTGTCATATTCATTATCAATACGTATTTGAAAGCTATAGTAATTAAAACAATGTGGTAATGGAGCTCTGGGGGTGCTATGGTTAAGGCACTGGGCTGTTAATTAAAAGGTAGGTGGTTCGAAGCCACCAGCTGCTCCATGGGAGGAAGATGAGAAAAATCTGTTTCTGTAAAGATTTACAGCCTTGGAAAGCTGATGGGAGTCATTATGAGTTGGAATTGACTTAATGGCCTTAGTTTTTTTTTTTTTTTGCAGAATTTGTAGGCTAGAACAGAGGTCAGAAAAAGAAAGAATCATGAATGTAAGAAAATTTAATATGATAAAGGTGGCATTTCAAACCAGTATGGAATGGATGACTATTAAGTAAATTTAAGTGAATAGGGTAAGGGAAACTGGATATTTGTTTTGGGAAAAATAAATGGTTTTCTCTTTCCTACCATTCACACATACACATCCCTCAATATAAAAGCCAAAGTGTGAAACAAAAGAAAATGTAGAATAATATACTTAAGACTTTGGATTAGAAAAGTCTCTTTCTAAAGATACAAGTAAAATCCATAGAGTGAAATATATTTAAAATTTGTATGTTTAAATATGGCTTCTACATGATAAAAGTTCAAAGACAAAGGTGAAAATATTTGTAACCTATATATAATATTGTCATAGTTATCTAGTGCTGCTATTACAGAAATACCTCAAGTGGGTGGCTTTAACAAACAAATTTATTCTCTCACAGTTTAGGAGGCTAGAAGTCCAAATTCAGGGTGCCAGCTCTAGGGAAAAACTCTCTATGTCTGTTGGCTCTGGAGGAAGGTGATCTGTGTCTTGACATCAATCCTCCCCTCAGTCTTGTAGAATCTCAGCACAGGGATTCTTGGTCCAAAGGACACACTCTGCTCCCTGCTCTTCTTTCTTGGTGTTACTGGGGTCCCTCCTTCTCTTTTTCCTTCTCTCTCCTCTTGCTTTTTGTACAATAAAAGGTGATGGAGGCCACATCCCAGGGAAACTTCCCTTACATAGGATCAGGGCTAGACCGATTAAAAGTGTTGCATCTAACTCTAATCCCATTTCAACTGACTGATCACATCAGATCATATCATGGGAGATAATTACATCATTACCTAACTGCCAAACCTCTGAAAATCATGATTTAGTTAAGCTGATCCATATTTTTTGAGAGACACAATTTAACCCATGACAAACATAAAAAAAATATTTTAAGCATATATGTAAGTCCAGCCTATGAATAATAATTAAAAAGATAACCTGATAGAAAAATGCATAAGAGATATGGATAGGCAACTCACAGACAAGGAAATACAAATGGCTAAGAAATATATAAAAAGACTTCCTAACAGTCAGGAAAACTCTAAATAAAACCCTAATTTGAAGATGCCTTCTTCATTTGTACTGCTGTTGGCCCTCCTCTATTAAAACATAAACACTGTCTTATTTTCTACTGGGCTCCTCAGCTCTGAGAATAGAGTCTGGCACTCAGCAGATAGTCTCATATGCCCACCAAAGGAATGAATAAATGAATGAATGAGATACAATTTTTTTTTAACCTTTCAGAGTAGGTAAAGTTAAAGCTTAAAAATTATAAGAAATACATAGTGACAAATAAGTAGAAATTTTTTTCTCATACACTGATGGTGGTAAAATTTGTTACAGGAATATTGGGGATAATTGTTGTTATTGTTATGAGTCGGACATGACTCAACAGCAGTGAGTTTGGTTTCTTGGTTTTGTTGTTGTTTTTAGGTGCCATTGAGTCACCTCTAACTCGTAGCAACCCTATGCACAGCAGAACGAAACACAGCCCAGTCCTGAGCGAGCTCCATGATTCTTGCTATACTTGAGCCCATCGCCATTGCCACTGTGTCAATCTATTTCATTGAGGGCCTTCTCCTCTTCCGTCAATCCTCCACCTTACCAAGTATGACACATCCTTCTCCAGAGAATGTTCCTTTCTGACAACATGACCAAAGTATGTGATACGAGGTCTGTCCATTCTCACCTTCAAGGAGCATTCTGGCTGCACTTCCTCCAGGACAGACCTGTTAGTTCTTTTAGCAGTCCACAGTATTTTCAGCGTTCTTCACCAACAGAATAGCTCAAAACATCAACTCTTATTCGGTCCTCCTTATTCACTGTCCAGCTCTTACATGCATATGCTGTTGTTGTTGTTGTTGTTATGTGCCGTCGAGTCAAACCCGACTCATAGCGACCCCTCCTTGGGTTTCCGAGGCAGTATCACTACGGAAGTAGGATTGCCCGACCTTCCTTCCGAGGAGTGGCTGGTGGGTTTGAACTGCCAGCCATCTGGTTAGCAGGCAAGTGTCTTAGCCACTATGCTACCAGAGCATATGAGGTGACTGAAAATACCATGGCTTGTGTCAGGCGCACCTTAGTCCTCAAGGAGACATCTTTGCCCTTCAGCACTTGAAAGAGGTCCTTTTCAGCCAATTTGCCCAGTGCTATACGTTCTCTGATGTCCTGACTGCTGCTTTCATTGGCGTCAATTGTAGAACTAAGCAATGTGAAGTCTTTGACAACTTGAATCTTTTCTCCATTTATCATGATGCTGCTTATAGGCCCAGTTGTAAGGATTTTTGCTTTCTTTATATTGAGATGTAATCCATACTGCAGACTGTGTTTTTCAGTCTTCATCAGTAAGTACTTCAAGCCATCCTCACTTTTAGCAAGCAAAGTTGTGTCGTCAGCGTATCGCAGGTTGTTAATGATTCTTCCTCCAATCCTGATGCCACGTTCTTCTTCATATAGTCCAGCTTCTCAGATTATTTGTTCAGTGTACAGATTGAATAAGTACAGTGAAAGGGTACAACCTGACACACTCCCTTCTTGATTTTAAACCATGCAGTGTTCCCTTTTTCTGTTTGAACAACAGCCTCCTGATCTATGTACAGGTTCCTCATGAGTACAATTAAGTGTTCTGGAGTTCCCATTCTTCTCAATGTCATCCACAATTTGTTATGATATACCCAATCAAATGCTTTTGCATAGTCAATAAAACACAAGTAAACATCTTTCTGGTATTCTTTGCTTTAAGCTAAGATCCATCTGACATCAGCAATGATATCCCTCATTCCACATCCTCTTCTGAATCCAGCTTATATTTCTGGAAGTTCTCTGTCAATATACTACTGCAACCATTTTTGAATTATCAAAATTAGGCTATAAATTATCCCAATACCTTATGATTCTGCATCTGTCCCAGAGAGACATTTGTACACATGTACAAAGAATCAGGTAACAATCATAATGATTAGCAGCACTTATTTACTTAGTGATTCCCCACCAGCCACTCCTCAGAAGGAAGGTTGCACAATCTACTTCTGTAGTGATACCACTTCGGAAACCCAAGGAGGGGTTGCTATGAATCAGAATGAATTGACGACGGCAGTGCATTGCATTTGTTTTTGCACATATATCATGTACTATTCTAAGTAGTTTCGTGCATTAAGTCATTCGTAAGAGAAAAGTGCAAGTTACAGTATTGTATGTAAAGTATAATACTTTTTACATTTAAAAAACACAGAAGATCACACTATATATTATCTACAGCCAAATAAATATATGGCAATGCAAAAAGTGGTTTGGAAGAATGCTTTATTTTCAGTGCTGGTCAGGTTATGAAGAAACTAATTCAAATGTTGCTCAAATATTAATACTAGTAAAACCAAAAAAAAAAACAAACTCACTGCCATCAAGTCAAATCCAACTCATAGCAACCCTCATTGGCTTTCCGAGGCTGTAAATCTTTACAGAAGTGGATCACCCCATCTTCCTTCTGTACAGCAGCTGGTGGATTTGAACTGCTGATCTTCCAGTTAGCAGCCAAATGCCTTCCAGTACACAACCAGAGCCCTTTCAATACTAGTACTAATTACTTAATGCTGCTGTTGTAAGGTGCTGTCAAGTGATCTCCAATTCACAGCAACCCCACGTACAGCAGAATGAAATACTGCCCGGTCTTGTGCCAGCTCTATGATCCTTGCTATATCTGAGCCCATCGTTGCATCCACTGTGTCAATCCATCTCGTTGAGGGTCTTCCCCTTTTTCGCTGACCCTCCACTTTACCAAGCATGATGTCCTTCTCCAGGGAATGGTCCCTTCTTACAACATGACCAAAGTAGGTGAGATGAAGTCTGGTTACGAATTCAAATATTTTATAATCCTGCTAGGAAAAATCTAGAGCCTTAAACTGATTGTACTCTGTGAGAACTTATCTTAACAAATTCATACAAAAAGAGACTGTTTCCATTGTAGTATGATTTATCAAGTGGCTAGGTTTCCCTTTTATTGGTCAATCTAATGTCTTGTCAGTTATTAATCATTCTGAACATAATCATTATGTCACCCCTGGGTGACATAAGTTATTTAAAAATTTAATTATGAAACTTATTGCACTATTTATGACTCAATGTTAAGCATTTTAAAAAAATGGAGGAGACAAAATTATGTCCATGTAATGATTAGGGCTATATGCCAAGTTAGGGCCTGGTCCAGAGTGGGGCTCAATAAATATCTGTTAAAAATCAGTTATATGGAAATGTGCACAAGCATTTGGTGGAAAACAGAAAAGCAAATACAATGTGAATTGTAGCTAAGTTTTTAGAGGATTTATGGCTTTTCCTTTGCCCAATTTTTGTTAAGAACATCATAAACTGTATTATTTAATCTTCAGAGTTCTTCAGTCCCAGGATGTAGTCCTAGCCCCCAACCCTCACCTCAAGTGGGAAAGGTAGACATATAAACAAAGAATTGGCACAGGAGTGGCAAGTACCACCCCAGTAACATCTGCAAGGCACCAAAGTAGTAAAGAAAGAGAGGGACCAACTGTACCTGGTATCAGGTTGAAACTTAGACCTCAGTGGAGTTTTTTAAAGAGTTTCATTGCCAGGTATACTAGAGGAAAAAGGACATTCCAAGGAAAGACAACTACATGAAAAAGCAAGGAAGTGTCAAGTGTGTGTGGTGTGAAATTTCTTGCATGTATGTGTGTAAGGGTGTTGACTGGAAATGAGGCTGGTGAGGTAGCTGAGGCCAGACCATGTAAGCTCTCACTTGGCCTAGGGGAATCCAAATGGGGTGTAGGGAGAAAGAGGCATGATCAGTGTGGAGTAAAGAATATAACTTTACCCAAAATAATTTTCTCTTGGTCCTTGTTTCCTGAGCAGTAACTCTAAACTCTTAACATTTCCCAAGTAACAGGTGCATTTTCTCATCTAAAGCCTTCAGAAAACACCTAGGATTGTTGTTAATAAGTGAGGGATGGACTAATCAGAAAGATCATCTCCTGGCCTGATATTAGCTGACCTGGGAGAGGGGCATTATTCAATCAACCATGCTTATGCAAAGGCCCCAATCATGATTACATAATGAAGCCAAGACAAGCTCTGAATATTGAAGCTCCATGGACTCCCTGATTGGTGAAAGACATTGATGCATGTAGGATGGTAGCACACCTTTTAAAACATGGAAGCTCCACATTGGGAACCCTCCTATGCATCTCTGTTTGTATTCTTTTTACTTTTCTTTTGCTAAAGTCAAGCTGTACTCATCAGTATACTGCTTTCTGTGAGCTCTTTGAGTTCTTCCAGTGACTTACTGAATCCAAAGCAATACTGAGAACCAGCAAGCTAGAAGTGAGGGGGTCTGGGAACCCCTGAGCTTACAGCTGGTATCCTGTGGGGATAGAGAGAATTTGTAGTCAGCAGATCAGAGGTGAGGGAGCTCAGGGGGCCCTGAGCTTGCAGCTGGCATTCGGAAGAAGTAGTGAGAAACCTCACATCTATAGCCAGCAGGTGTTAAGTGAGGATATCATGTGGACTCCCAAACCTGTAGCTAACATCTAAAGTCTTAGGCCTGCTTGGCAATCTGGAGGACTGTGTTCTTTAACTTGTGAGGTCTGACTTAACTCTGGGTGGTCAGGGTCAGAGGAAAAAGTGATGAATGGGCAGCTGGTGTCAGAGTTGAACAGCAAAATGAGAAGTGGGAATTTGTCATATCCTCACAGTTGGTGTCAGAAAAAGTTAGTTTTGATTTTATACTTGAGATTTGATTATTCACCCACTCAGTCAGCTCTGGGTGGCCATGCAGAAGATGAGCTTTAGGTCAAGAAACCTGGGAGGAGTGAGAACACTTGAAGAGGTTTTCAGTCACTTAGGTGGAAGACAAAGAAGTCAAGACAAGGAAACAGGAAAGCAGGGCTAGATTTAAGAAGAATTCAGACACAGCATGCTCAGAATGACTGGATATAAGGGTGAAGGAAAGAAAGAAACTGAGGGTGACTCAGGTCTCTAGTTAACTGGGAAGCACAATTCACTAGGCAAAACACACATACACTGAGTGATTAGCACATGCTACCCAAACACCATGCTGTCATACATAATTTAAAATCCACATAATCCACTTTTTGGAAAGGGGAAGTGACTCACCCAAGGTCCCAACTTAGTTGACTCTCACAGTGTGCTTTTGATCATCAAACTAGACTGAGTTAGGGACCCTAGAAGGGGTTGAGTGTGAAGAGGGTATATAATGAGGCCAGATTTGGCAGTGCTGCTTTAGAACTGCTCTAGGAACAGGAAGATGGAGATGCCCAGTAGGGAGTTAAAAGCAGTTAAAATCCATGTAAAGTGGGCACCATTCTGATTTTATTGTCAGAAGGATACCTAAGTCCACCCAGTGGATAGCTGCTGGACTTAACCCCAGGCCTGTCTGAGCCCAGAATCTAGAGAAGCCAAGAATGTTCTGAAGCAGAACTACTTTCCGCTTAGGTAGATGCCCAGCTTTCCCCCATGCATTGAAGCTAAATTCTCCTAATCTCTTCTTGGCTTAGGCCTGCTGACTCTGTAGTGCTCTTAGATTCCCAGGATAGAAACTTAGCCCACTTGGTGTCTAACAGAAGGAAGTTTAAATCTGGGAGGAGTGTGAAGCATTTGAAGGGCAGACAAAAAAGAGGACCCCAAGATGGTTGAGAAGGAACAATTAGAGAGGCAAGAGCAGGACCAAGGGAGAATTTTAAGATAGGAAAGATATACACTGTTAAATGCTCCAGAAAAATAAGTAAGATTACAAAAAAAGGAAACAAAATCTCTGAGGAGGAGCTAGTCTACAGGGCTCATAACCTATACTTGCCATGGCCTCAGCTATCCTGAGACCAGAACTACATAGTACCCAGCTACCATTACAAACCATTCTCATTAGGGCCACAAGAGATAGATGCTGATAAAATGAGAAAATAACATGGAACATAAATTCTGAAAAAGTCCAGACTGAACAGAGTAGAGACTAGAGGACTCCTGAGACTTTTTTTGCCCTAAGATATTCTTAAACCTTGAACCAAAACTATCCCCTGAGGTTACCTTTCAGGAAATAACAAATTAAAAAGTAAAAAACAAAACAAAACAAAAAACCAAACTCACTGCTATCGAGTTGATTTTGACTCAAGGTGACCCTTCCTTGGATTTCGAAGGTGGCATCTCTACGGAAGTAGATTGCTCAGTCTTCCTTCTGAGGAGTGGCTGGTGGGTTTGAAAGGATACTACCCACAAGTACAGTGTTCCATTAAAAAAAACCCAGCTATATGCCTAAGGCACTTGACTGCTAACCAAAAGTTTGAACCACCAGCCACTCAGAAGGAAGATTGGACAATCTACTTCCGTAGTGATACTGCCTTGGAAACCCAAGGAGGGGTTGCTATGAGTTGGATTCAACTCATCAGCAGTAGTTTGGTTTGTTTTGATATATGAAACTAAAAGGTGAATAATTACTCTAAGACAAAGATAAGAAGATAAGGGGCTGAGGAAACTAGAATATTGGAAGGAGAACAACCAGGATGCAATTCACACTGTGAAAAATGTAACTATCATTGAACAATTAGTGTTGAAATTGTCAAACGGGAAACCATTTTGCTGTGTAAACTTTCATCAAAAACACAATACAATATTATTATAAAAAGAAAAAGTAAGATTATACACAAAAGGCAACCATAGGAATATTAATCAGAAGACTACCTTAAAAATATGTGTAGTTTGAGTCAAGATGGTGGGAAGAGAAACCAGTTGGCATTGTATAGGCAATGAGAAAGGAAACTCAGCATGTTTAGGCAAACCAAGAATGTTAGCTTGGAAGGAAAAAAGGAGAGGGATACTTGGAAGGACCTTGGGTTCTAGAAGAAGCATCTACTTTCAGGTAGGCATGTGGTGCCCTAGGGTTAGGCTGAGTCCTCAGTTGCCACATGAGTGTGTTGTGGTAGACATGGGTCTGAGTGCAGGGACACAGGCTCACTTAACCCTTACTTTTCATACCTGGAACAGGCCTAGTGCAGATTCAGAAAGAGGAAAGGAGCTTCACCAATGTGATAAAGTGGAAATTCACCTGAACGAGGGCAAGGTTACTGCTGATGACTCTGTGCTGCTCTTGGGGGTCATCAATTTGTCCAGTGTTGGCCTAGGATGAAACAGAAAAGAAAAAAGGGTAAAACTGGGTGGGCTCAAAACAAGGTAAACCTCTCCCAGAAAAGGCAGTCACTCAGGAGAAAAGTCAAGTCAACAGATCTCATATAATTGATGTCAGAATAAATTACTCTGTCCAGCTTTCAAAGCAGTGACCCAAATATTTTTGTGGGGAGAAGATGAGAAGAGTAATGACACAGGTCTCTTTGCAAAATGGATGGATGTCATAAACCACTTTCCCATGTGCAAAAGCATGCAAACACAAACACACACGTGTTGCCTACTATTTTAAGGCTATCACTGTCCATTGGCCTCAAGGTTACAGCTCTGAGCCAGAAGCTGCCTGCTTTCCTCAGGCAGGCCTTTGGCCAAGTTCTTCCCTTCACCTGAAACACCCTCCAGCCAGTCAGACCTTAAATGATCACAAACCCAGGCCAATCCTGCCTTTGTAAAGTTATCCTCTGAAAGCCCATAAATCCTTCTTCTCTTAGCATAAAAAAAAATAAGGCCAGAAATACAACTTTCTACTTTAAAAATGGTAGTCAGCTCCTAACAGTATAGCACTTGACAACAAAATCCAAGATTTACATTAAAAAAGACCTGAAAGTAAATACGCTTTACTAGTTCTTTTATGTTGAGTCATTGTTCTTTAAGCTCCTGAACTCCAATGAAAGAAATACAAATATGGGCCTACTGCTAACAAACACGGTATTTACTTTTCATTTTAACAAATAAGGAGAGCCTTTCTGTTGTTAGCATGACTGTGGCACCTGGGGTAGGACACTTAACTCTCTATAAGCCTCTGTTTACTCTTACCTAAAATAAATAGGTACAACACCTCATGGTGTTCTTATGGAAAGAGCAGGGTTAAGGAATAGCAAAACATAGTGGCAGAAGCCCGTGACACGCTGAACCATTATGGTTGGTGGGCACATCTCAAATATCCACTTTTTTTAAAGAAAATTTTATTGTGTTTTGGGTGAAAGTTTACAGAGAGAATTCATCCTCCATACAGCAGCTCACATACGCTGTCTCATGACATTGACTGTAATCTCTCACAATGCAACAGCTCTCCTCCCACGTCCTCCCCGTAGTTACCTCTTCCCTTTGTCCTTCCCTCCCATGCACTCCTGTACCCTGAGCTGTCCCCCTGTGCATACACCACCCTTCTATTTCCTCCTGATTGATCTTTACAAGGAGTGTATCTACCTAATGTAAATGTTCAGTTTGTATGCCTGTCATTTGTTTGGCTGGAAGCCACAGGAATGGGTTCATTTCTAGACCTGAAGGGCAGCTAGGGACCATAGTCTCAGGGGTTCCACCAGGCTCCATAAGACCAACAAACCTGGTCCCCCCCTCTTTTTTTTAAAATGATTTTGAGTTTTGTTCCACACTGTTTCCCCACTCTATCCAGGATCTCCTACATAGATTCTCCTCTGAGTGGTTGACAGTGGTAGCTGGGCACCATCTAGTTCTTCTAGTCTTCTAGTTGTATAGGCTGAGGATTGCATGATGTACCAATCCCTTGGACTAATTATTTCCATGTGTCTTTGGTTTTCTTCATGCTTCTTTGCTCTGGACAAGCAGAGAGACACATTGTCAAACAGCCACTCTTGAAGATGGAGGAATAGGCAGACCAGTGACATAGACCCACTTCAACAAAGAAAAGAAAAACCAATTGATAGAGATACAGAAGATAATCCTGGAGCCCCAAGCTTTGAAAAGAACTATACAGAAGTGAATTAAGCATGAGCTAGTGGAAAAACCTGAATGAAAACAGTGAGTACAGAGATGGTCAGAGCAGTGGACTATCAGCTACTCTGATGGGACCAACAGCCTGAATATTTCCAAGTGGTGTTGGGACCTGAGAATTGACCTAAAGGTCAGCCCTGGTCACCAAGGGCTGTAGGGATGACTGCACTGGTGGTCTATGACTAGGAAGGGAAACAGCAAGGAGGGAGACAACCTGAGCTGATGACTTTCCACTGTCCAGAGGATGCAGCCATTTTCATTGTTTATACTTGGCAGCCATTTTGGATGTTTTAAGTGACCTAGGGCACAGCCATTTTGAATGTTTATAAGCAGCAGCCATTTTGGATATTTAAAGTGATAGCATACTCATTTGGATTCCAGGGACCTAAGAATAGGCTCTGTTTGCTAAGGTCAGCAGGGACATATGAGAGGCTGACAACAGGAAAGGAGACAGGTAGTGAGTGTATATGTGCTGTCAGCTAGTGAATAGAGGCGCACAGTACCTTGCTTGCATAGATAATATACAAACAAAACAAAGAAAATGAAAATCATGGGCAAATCACTCCAACATACAATCACCAATTAAATATAAACACAAAAATGTCACAATGCCTCAGAGACAATAGAGCATCACAGTCCACAAAAAGAAGCAGGGTAAAGCAGGAGAAACAAAGAACCAGGATACAGACCCAAAACACATCCTTGAGGAATTCCTGGATAAGGAATTCAAAATAATTATATTTAGGTATCTTCAATGAATTGAGAGACAGATTAAGGAAAACACAGAGAAAACACTCACAATTTTGAAAGACAATACAAGAACAAAATGACAAAATAAATGAATAAATAAAAATGATACAAAATCTACACACAGAAATCCAGAAGATTAATACTAAATTTTCAGAAATAGGTAAGACACTGATTGGCCAAAGCAGCAGAATTGAATCAACAGAAGACAGAATTAGGGAGACTGAAGGCAAATACCTGAATACTTCTTTGGAAAAGGATCAATCAGAAAAAAGATCAAGACAAAATGAAGAAAGCCTAAGGTTCATGAAGATACCATCAAAAGGAATAATCTACATGTAATTGGCATTCCAGAGCAGGAAGAGACAAATAAAACCACTGAGAAAATTGTTGAAGATTTGTTGGAAGAGAATTTTCCTGGTATGATGAAAGATGAGAATATATTCAATCAGGAAGTCCAACAAACCCCAAACAGGATAGACCCCAAAAGAAAATCACCCAGACATATCATCATCAAACTTACCAAAAACAAAGACAAAGAAAGAATCATGGGAGCAGCACGGGAAAAATGAAAAGTTACCTACAAGGGGCAATCAATAAGACTAAGCTCAGATTTTGCAACAGAAACCATGCAGATGAGAAGACAATGGGATGGCATATATAAAACCTTGAAAGAGAAAAATTTCCAACCAAGAATTATGTACCCAGCAAAATCGTCTCTCAAATATGATGGAGAACTTAGGACATTTCCAGATAAGCGGAAACTAAGGGAATTTGTTAAAACCACACCAACCTTACAAGAGGGAGCCCTTTGGACAGAGAAGCAACAATAGCCAACAACAACTGACCATTAACACACATGATGATATAACCCAGAAACCAACCCAGCTATGGAAGTATCCAAAGTAAACAGGGAACCAGAGATATTAATTGACAAATGAGGACAACTACTAACCAAAAAGAGGGAAAAAACTGTGTTGTTACAGAACTTCTAGATGGTAGGGAAGTGAAGACAACTACAAGATAGAACAGATTGTTCTAAACTTGGGAAGAAAACTATAAATCACAGGGTAACCTCAAAGAAAAATGATAAACCCTCACATCAAAAAAGAGGACCAGCATAAATATTCAGCAAATACAAGAACAATAGCAATGAAGGAAGTGATAACATGATTCATAAACAAAACGAGCTCAGCATAGAAAATTATATGGAACAATGAAATCGACATCACAAAAAAGCACATAACAAAAATGACAGCAACAAATTCTTATGTGCCAATAATTACGTATCTGGCAAGGGACTTATCTCTAAGATTTATAGTGGAAGAGTGGATGACCAAACTATGGTACATATGCATAATGGAATGCTATGCAGCACTAAAGAGTAATGTAGAGTTTGCAAAACACCACATAATATGGATGAACTTGGAGAACATTATGCTGTCAATCACAGAAGGACAAATATAGTATTAGTTCGTTGTTGTTGAGGGTCAAGGAAAGGTTTATATATGGAGGGAAACTTTCTTTTCTGGTTGCCAACATAACCTAAACAGCAGAGCGGAGGGGAGGGAACACTGCAAAACAAATGCATTGATCTATGTCACTTTATTTTTGTGTATTTCACTGTACATAAATTATATTTCAATAAAATGCATTAAAAAAATTTGCCCATAGAACCCTTCAATGTTGCAACTCAAGGCTTGACTTTTTTCCTCAGTTCTTTTAGCTTGAGAAATGCCAAGTATGTTCTTCCCTTTTGGTTTTGTAACTCAAGGTCTTTGCACATTTCACAGTAATAATTGACTTTGCCAAGTCAATTGACTTTGCCATGTCAAAGTGGCAGGGTATAATATCAACATATTAGAAAAATGGATTCTTCTACAGTAACAAAGAGAATGCTGAAAAGGAAATCAAGAAAATAATACCATTTACAATGTTATTGTTGTTAGGTACTGTCAAGTTGGCTCCGACTCATAGTGACCCTATATACAAAAGAACACTGCCCAGTCCTGCACCAGCTTCACAATACTTGCTATACCTGAGCCCATTGTTGCAGCCACTGTCAATCCATCTTCTTGAGGGTCTTCCCCTTTATAGCTGACCCTCCACTTTACCAAGCATGATATCCTTCTCCAGAGAATGGTCCCTTCTGACAACATGACTAAAGTAGGTGAGACAAAGTCTGGCCATTCTCACTTCCAAGGAGCATTCTGGCTGTACTTCTTCCAGGATGGATTTGTTAGTTCTTCTGGCAGTCCATGGTACTTTCAGTATATGAAGTACTTAGAAATAAATCTAATCATAGACACAAAAGATCTATACAAAGAAAACTACAAAACTCTGTAGGAAACCAAAGGACACTTACATAAATGGAAGAATATAACTCTCACGGACAGGAAGACTTACACTGTGAAAATGTTAATACTACACAAAGCCATCTACAGATAAAATGCAATTCTGATCCAGATCCCATCATCTTTCTTTAAAGGCAAATAA